ACTGCTCACATTTTCATTCTGTATTTATATTATAAAATTTTTCAAATATGTTTCTGAGATGCTGGCTTCATCACCAAGTAATAAATGGTTTAGTCCAATATTCTTTATTTGTCCAGAATGCTACTTTCAGGTTTAATATTGTTTTACTTAAACAAATGCGTAACTTCTTGTTAAACAGTGCAGCATTCCTTGACAGGCTGTACTTTGTTTTTTTGTTGCCTGGTGGACAGGCTTGTTTCTAAACCATAGATTTTTTTATGGGCATTTACAGGTGTGATGCTAGAAGCTTACATTTAAAGGTCAATTTTGACAGACAGATTTTGCAAACCAGACAGAAATCCCCATATCACAACATGAGGTCGGGCTGTTACAAAAATACAATAAAAAGGTGATAATTTACTTTGTGTGGCTTAGACTTAGGACGTGAAATTATTTATTAGCAACAGAGTGATTTAGAATATCATGTTCATTTCTTTGTTGATTTAAATGGCTTGTGAATAAACGGGTTGCCTGCAAGCAGTTTATGATTATGTTATTATGTCAATTGTAATGTATCTACAGAAATATTCAATACAAAAGAAATAATTTACAATTTCTCATGTATGGGTGTAGAGTAATAAAGCTGTGATTTAATTATTGTTGTTTTTTATGTTGAATAAAATAGTTGATGTCTCATTGCACATGTCAAAAAATAATTAAATGTTATTCAGTTTTCTTGTAACCCGTACTGGTATGATGAATTACATTGAATGAAATTATTGTGTCATGTATTGCTTCTGAGTTTTGGTTGTATGCCAGTGTCAGAGCTAATTGTTTGGTATTGTCTAATTTTTTTTCATTTCAAAATCTAGAACAAACAAAAACGTGAACACATATCTAAAACAATTCTTGAAAGATATTTAGTAATTTCTAAAATGTTGAGAGGAAATAAAACTGTTAGGCGATACATTTAAAAAAAAATTATTCCTTAAATTAATTTATGTGTAACCTACAAATTCATTGTTCAATAACAATAGCCATTTATTTATAAAAAGTGAGTTTTTTTAAATACTGTATTTCACAAAGTTAAAGCTATATTTAATAATTCATCATTTTATCTTTTGTTTAAGTATTATTATTTCTTGTTAACTTACAACATGCAATTAAAAATTAATTGACTCATTTTTTTATTTTATTTTTTTCAAGCAAACATTAAGGCTTATGGAAATTATGCTATATTTGTTGAATTGGGACAGCATTGTCACAAAATGATACCTTCATGATACATTGTACCAAATGCGGGAGGTAATTTATGGATTTCCCCCAAAATTATTGCTTGGAAAGCTTTTTTGTACTCCATAATCATCTGCAAAACCGGGTTTGTGCTCCTGATTTGTTCTGAAACAGCAAATTAATGCACATATTTATAATGGAGGACACGATGAATAAAACATGCAGCCCATTTGCCTTGTTGTGATTGTTGCAGATTGTCAAGTCCCTTATCCAATACAAAATACAATAGGCTACATCTCGCATTCTATGGAATCTAGTATGCTAAAGAACCTTCTACTTCTTCTATATATTAAGGGCCCACAATCAATTTATTGATCATTTTGGCTCCTATGCTTGTAGAGGGGATTTGCAATGTTTCTGTTCCTGGTGTTGATGAGGATATTTCATTGGTTGCCAGGGCTATTTTGTGAGGGTATCATGCACTGGGGGTTGGAAGTGCCGCCGCCCCCCCTCCCCATCAAAAATATGTCCAACAATAAATCAACTGGAACTGCCACCCTTCCCCCCTCCACCTGGGGCGGGGAGCTAAAATGTATGAAATAATCACTGCTTGTATGAGCCGGAACTGTCTGTCATGGCCTCGTCACTGTCTATGGGGAGAGGGATAAGTTGCTGTTTAATGCTGGCTAACTCAGTGTTCAGCAAATGCGGCTCGCGAGCCGCATGTGGCTCTTTAGCGACCTGAGTGCGGCTCGGCCAGTCGGCCACAAATTGGGTTTGACTCCGAAAAACATGGTTCTTGACAGGTTGTTGAAAAGAAATTTGGCTCTCAAACAATTTTTTAATCGTCACGCTGCAGATTTTCTTCTCTTTTGACTAATGAGTTTGCCGACCACTGGGCTAACTCGTAGCATGTACACCGTCTTACAAATGTTGTGTTGGCAGGAGGCACAAATGCTCAAGCAGACAACATTCGTATTCTTAATGCAAATTCTGGGTCAGAGTTAAAAGTTAGCTTCAAGCCATTTTTTGTTTTTTTTCAAATTTCTGTAGATACATTGGCAGAAGTGAAAAAAAGCATCCTCGAGTAATTGTTTGAGGAAACTCGACATTTAAAGCAATTACCATTGCAAGCTCAAAGTCTATTAGAATAATTATATGAGGATTACAAGAAGACTCCAAATCTATGAGAATTATTATATGAGGATTATAAGTAGACTCCAAGACCTTGATAACTCTTAAAAACGTATGTAAAATTGTACAGTTTTGTTTAGAAAAAGTGCATAAACTTATGGCACATCAGTGTGTTCACGTAAGCCATGTATACTGTATACTATAAAATTGTTCAAATAAAGGTGGTACCGTTTTAAAAGTACCATTACATCTGCTTACCAGGTTGTTTTTTTTATCTTAGCTTGAACGTAAACGCGTATTACTGCTGGTTGAAAATATCAAAATTCTGTGATCTACCGGCCCAGAGCAAACAATATAATTAAGTCTTCGCCCTTCTCAGTAGAAATATATTCACTAAATGAATCTGATGTCCCTCCCATGAGAAGGTATAGCTGGACCCCAAGTGTCTATTATTACATATGTGCTTTTCATAGTTTCAAATTAGGTAGTTGACATTGGACCTTTCGTGGCCAGGGTTAAATTCAATTAAGCCTTACACAAAATATAATGAGTACAGTCACATGTAGTTAAAGCATCACTTTAAATCATTTTATCATTATTATATTTATTTCAGTTTTGAAGCTATCAGCTGCATGATTGTATTCTTTGTTTTGTTTAGTTATAGCCTAATAGCAGTTAAAATTCGAAATGGGCCCTCAGCAGGTACACTTCCACATGGATACTTAGCAGTCACATGAATGGACATGACATGAATGTTTTTTTAATTGAATTATTCGCAAAAAATAAATTGTATCGTCAGGTTGCTTTTCCGATGTTCTAGATATTTTAATAAAAACGTCGCAATAATAGACAACTTATTCTTTTAAAATTTATTAGTGGTATTTATATTTTTACTTAATATGTTCATTTTCAATAATTAAATAAGTGCTGACTCCTGTTTCATATGTTTTCAATTTAAAAATAAACAAACTTCCGTTTGAACAGAGCTTCCCACACGCTAGTCTTAGACTTAACAACATTTATTTATTTTAAAACAAAACCAACACACATATTATGCTGGGGAAGGTCTGAGATGGTAAATTGGCTACCAACTCCATCTGTTGAGCTGAGCCATACAACATTTTCCTCACAAAGGGCGTTCCAACCGCCCTGTCTTCCCCCCAGGACATCTAGTGAGGGACATTCGGTCAACAGGTGCCCTAGTGTCTCTGGCACCAGGCTGCAATGCCGGCAGGTAGGATCCCTGTTGTCCCGCCGCCAGACGCATGTGCCTATGGAGCAATGCTCAGTGCGCATTAGCGTCACTAAGCTCTGCTGTCTGCGGCCTAAACCCCATCATGGGTCTTGTTTGCTGGGAGTGGGCAAATTTTAAGATTCCCCTGGCGGTCGTGTTGTCTGCCCATTGCCTGTACCACTTTGTCCTGAAGTGGTCCGCCAGCCAGTTCTTTAATCCAAAATAAGTTATCGGTACTTCTGGCTAGGCAGCCCCAGTTTACGCCAGAGTGTCCGCTTTCTCGTTGGCACTAACGTTGACGTGACATGTGATCCATTGCACTGTGACCTTTCCTCCTAGTTCACTGATTTTGCACACGTCATCAATGATGGCGTCAACTAAGTGAGTGGGACCTGGTCTCTTTCCCAAGATCTCAAGAGCAGATCTTGAGTCCGAGTACACGATCACATCGAGCACTTAAATTTTGTACTTGTGGACAGGGCCGGATTAAGACATCTTGGTGCCCTAGGCACACACTCACATGGGTGCCCCCTACTGCCCCGGGCCCCCGATCCTCCACTGACTGCTGGTATGTTCAATATTATGCAAAAAAACTAACAAAGAAAAACAGTTGTGAAATGTAAATACATATATTTGTACAACTATCAGATCACTCATATAAAAACCTACAATAAAGTATTTCTGTATTAAAATGAATAGTTAACTAATTTTGTAATAAATAGTAGACAAAAATAATGTAACTTTTTTGATAGATAAGAAAGTCAGAGAGGGTACACAATTACATTTTAAAGTTCTTTTTTCTAGATTTACGTCTGGCAAAGTTTTTGAGTACATCATCAAAATTAATTTTGCGCAACCAGCCTGCCTCAATCATCATTTAAAGATAAGGAATCAAGCCTTTCTTGTTTCATTGTCGATCTACTTGGATTTTTTGCATGTTTCAACTGAGAAAAAGAGCGCCCAGTTGAACAGTTCGTACCCATTAATGTTAAAAAAATATGCCCAAGGCAATTTGTCGCTACGCATTAGTGCGTTACGTAGCACAAAAAATCCTTGAAGAAAAATAACACAAAATAGCAAAAAAACTGGGTGGAGGATATTTTACCCCCGGATTCTGGGACCAAGGTTAAATAATGTGCCATTCAATATAACATGTGCGATTTGCTTATGCCATGCAATTAGTAATTACGCTACCGGGACAATATATATTTTTCTTGAGGACTTGTGGTGCCCCCAAAATGCTTGGTGCCCTATGCACGTGCCTTGTTTGCCTAATGGTTAATCCAGCCCTGCTTGTGGATTACTAAAAAAAAAAAAAAGATAAAAAAAGAAAGATTTTCTCATCGGCACGGTGAAATAAAGATTTTACTTTTCTCTGTACGGAAACATTACCGCTACTACTATTGCGCATGCTCAAGGGTGTATATCTGTTTTGAGTTGTGCCAACAATGATTGTAGTGAAACAACAAATGTGCGTTTTACATATTTATTATAAACTTTAAGATTTGATTACCCAACAGTCATGAGTAATTTAAGTAAAGTAGGAAATATATTGTTTATGTCTTAGCAAATCTCTGTTTGGTCTATAATGGCATTTTAAATATACTATACCGTAAAAGGTGGGGAAAATGGCGTCTACACACACGGGCACAACGAAAGTTCACTTCTCTTTTAAAATAAGAATTAATGTAGTATGCTATATTTTGTTTTCATTAGTTACAGCAGGGTACACAATTTTTAATGCAGAAAAAACATTAGTATGTATACACGATTCAGATAAAAAAGATATTTAAATAATCATAAGTTAAACGCTCTAGATATTAGTATATTAATAGTAGGGTATTAGGCTTTTATTAGTATTAGTATTAATTAGTATTAGGCTCTACACTACTACTCTACTCACTCTAATTCTAAAATATACGGCACTCTACTATTGGTCAATATTGGTTTATATTACATTTATATTATATATTTTGAGATTAATTATAGTATTGTGATTGAGGGCCTAAAAATATTTAAATTAAAATATTTAAAATACTATCCTATGAAAACTGTGGGCCTACTTTTATACATGACTTATTTATCATTATCATGACTTATGATTACTTAAAATAGGCTTAACTTAACTTAAAACAATACATCACAATCAATTAAAAGTTAACTTTAATTTTATGATAACAAGCCAATTATATTATGATAATAATATATACAACTTTGCCTTACACTAAAATGGTACTTTTGAATTTTTGATGGTGGCAAAAGGGACATAGCAAGTAGCTGACTTTATTTTTGCCTTTGGCCTATAAATTATAAGTATTTAGCAAATAAAACAGGTTTATAATATTAATTAGGCCTGGTTTAAATTATAGGCCTAAGTTATGATTACAATATTGTGTATTTTGCCCAGGCCTATAGTGGAGCTATATTACTAGGAACCTACGGCATAAAATTAAAATAATAAATAAGTATAGCCTTTACTTATTAAAGGGACTACCACTACGACCTTATTAACAACAGCTATTTTAATTTATTCTATCACAACTATTGTAGTTATGAGTAATTTTTACTTAATTAAACTAACAGTAGACAAAATTGAATTAAATTTGTTTTTTTAAATTTATTGCAATGGAAGTTTTTAAAATAATACCATACAAAAATACAACAAAAATTTAAAAAAGGACAAATTTGATTTTTTCATTTAAAAAGTTGTCCAACCCCTGATTATTTTGAATACCAATTACATAGATGAAGAGTATGAACTAAAATACTGGAAAAAAACCTTTACTGTTAAATAATCTATTTTGTATTTTTTACTTTTTAAAATTTTTATTTTAATTTATTTTAACTTCATAGGCCTAATGTGACTAACTTAGAGACTCTACCTCTATAACTATATTAAATTATAATATATACATGTGGTCGTGCAAGATTATAGAAAGATCAATTCTGAGAAGTGTTAACTTTTAAAAACCATCTCCACAGTTTATGGCCCTTATAAAAAAAGAAAAAGATTGGACAGTAAATTAAAAAGCCGAAATGTCTTTGAGAATGGAACCAGGACAGACCTACAACACCTGGATTGATTTTAAAGAAGCTTTGGATGAGCACTGCAAAGAAAACAAAGTTGTATTCAACATCAGCAATGCAAAGACGGTTGAACAAGCCAACAATGTACTGAAGAAGAAACCATACTTTGACATACGTCTTAAATATGCATCTATTATATTAGTGTGCAAACATTATGGTTCTTATAAAAGTTCAAGTTCAGGCCTAAGACCAAAGCAAAGGTTTGTTGTTGTTTTCTTTTTACACCTTTTATCAATTTAATGTCAATTTATTTATTTTAAAAGGTACCGATAAATAGATAATCATAGCTAAAAGAAACAATCACCAAAAAATGTCTTGTTTATTAGATGTTATTACTTTACATATTACTAAGTACAAGTATGTCATTATTGTTAATTAATTGGTTATTTTTTAATAAAGAGGTGCAGCATCCTAATTCATATTTTACATCAGTGGTCTCAAACTTACAGCCCACGGGCCATTTGCGGCCCGCAAGATGATATTTTGCGGCCCGCTACATGACAGCAAAGTTTATAGTTATATTTCAGCCCTAGCGTTTTCACCATTCTCATATCTATAATGTGACACTCCACGATGGTTTCAGTCAAATTTTACAGACTAGTCTAATTATGATCATTATTATGTTTGTTTAGATTTGGACGTTGATTATAATGGCAAGAACTGTTTTATAATCGGACTAAAAGTTTTTAATTTATAACAAACATGGCCAAAGTGCGCTTTTGAGAGAAGTTTTTAAAAGTCAGTCCGTGGGTTGTGTAAATCGTAACAATCGGATACAGTATCAAAGAATCCCTATTAAGATTGCTGCTAGTGTTTACGAGTGAAGGAAATTCCGAGCCTGTCAACTCGGTCACTTTCCAAATAGGGTTAATAAAAAAAAGGTCTTTTCTAAGAAAAAAAAATCTAAATTCATACTCCCTACAATAGCTTCTTCCTTTGCATCAATAATTCATAAATATGGCTTGCTCCTGCCTACTGTTTGAAAACGTTTTAGCATTTAAAGCCTTCATGGATAAGGATGGGGTAGTTGCTTCTTGTACTAAGTGATCCCAAATGGCTCATCGACTTGGCTTTTTTTGTTGACATTACACAGGAGCTGAATGCACTCAAGGGTAGCTTGTCAGTGTTGACTATGACAATGTCAGGGCATTCTGCATAAAACTTGTGTTATGGTTCTTAGAAAAACCTCTGTTATATGGTTCTTAGAAAAACCTCTGCCATTTCCCAACATGCGATGTGCACATGGACTTGGGGCACACCATTCAGTAGTAGCTTAAGTAATAAGTATTTTGATGCTCTTGCAAAGCTAAAGGTAGAATTTTATCACATTATTTAGACTTCAAAACACACACACAGCCACTTTTCAGCTTTTTGCAGACCCTTTCTACTTTAATGTGAAAGATGACCCCCCATTTCCCTTTTTTTTTTCACTTCAAATGGAGCTGATTGATCTTCGGTGCAATTCTAAGTTCAGGGGGTGAATAAAAAACAGACAAGCATGGACACTTTATGAGAGCATTGCTCTCCACCTTCACTGAGATTTCCAGGTGGTTCAAGCAGATCATATGACTTTATGGGAGTACCTATTTGTGTGAAAAGCTCTTTTCCACTATGAACTTTAACAAATCAAAATTCAGGGCCAAACTTACTTATGAGCATATTCAAGCTATACTGGGGGTCTCAGTTGCTTCCTCACTCAAGCCAAAGTTGCTCAGCTGTGTAAGAAGACCCGCTGCCAGGTCTCTGGCAACAATAAGTAGGAGGAAGGAAGTGAAGCCTAGTTCTTGAGAACCCTTAATGATTTTATTTGTTATATATAAAGGTTGAGCAGATTGTAACAGTTTTACTTTAATGAATTGTAATCGCTTTTTTGTGGATTATTTGGTGCGGAACACTTGGTCCGCTGATGGTGTTGCTCTCACAGCCCCTGCAGTCAGGCTTTCCATGGGCTGGGATGGATAAATTTTAGCGTCCCCAAAACACCCCTTCCCAACCCGGGGTGGCCATTTGAATTACTAATATTTTCAATTAGAATTGTCGTAGATTTTGTGTCTTTCTAGTACCACTTTGATTCAATATTATTCAAATACAATACAATTTTGTTTCATTATTTACCTCAGAGTCCTATAGCATTTTTCAATAAATATACCCTTAACTACCTACTCTTAAAATATTTCAATTTTAAAAAAAACCTAACAGTTAAAGCTCACTATAGCCATCTCTTCAAGTTCAACAACTTTTATTTTCCAGAAGCTACAAGATCAATTGTAAAGCATACATCAGCGTGAGTGCTTGCCGCAAGGAAAACTATCTCATCATAAGGGATTCTTATCATATCCACAGCCATCCCTGCTCTGAGGAAATCTATAACTCCTATCCAGAAGTCAGGCGAATGACAAGGGAAGAACGCAAAATGGTTGGGACTTTAATGGAATTAGGGGTTCCCACTGCTCAGATTAAAAATGCTGTTGGAAAGCATGTAACACCCAAAGATCTTCAAAATGCAAAAACGCACATTAAAGCTGTCAAACTTGGTTTAAAAAAAGATGAACCCAACCCTGGACCAAGAAGGAGAAAAACATTTAAAGAATTGGAGAAGGAGCGCAAGGAGGCGAGGCTAGCCACTGGTGAGGTTGTATCTGATTCAGATAAAGATGAAGGGGAGAGAGATGATAACTCTTCTTCATCATCCCAAAATGCCCATTCAGAATTTAAAAATTTGAGCAGCTGTGAGGGGAACACATCAAGAGATGAGGAGACTGCTGGTTACACTGTAACCATTGGGGAGATGGATCCCCTAGAGGTTTCTGCTGATCCTATTAGCATGGAGGAATGCTCTGCCAGTAGCGAAAAAGACTCGGCTTGTACTGAGATGGGAGGACTTTCTGGACTCTTGGCAGCAGCAGGTCTCAACTCTGATTCTGTTGTGTTGACTGTGAACAATCAAGTTCAGGCTGAAGGCTTGGAGAGTGGGGACAATGGAGTGAAGAATTCCTACACTGTAACCGTGTCACTGCCAGATGGGGATGTGACGCACACTGGCTCAAACCTCCAGGAGTTGTTGAAAGGTCTGCCACTGGGGAAAATTATTGCCAAGTCCTCTTCTCCTCCCTTAAAGGTCAAAACAGAAGAGCTTGTGCCGCATGAAGTGAAAAGCTGTACGAAATGTGGAGGCTATATATCACCACTTGACGGTCACAATGAGTGCTTGACTTGCCTGGGGCCAGAACACATTCATGAGCATGACTGTGAACACTGCAGGGCCATGACTCAAGAGCAATTCAATATTCGTAGGAAGAAAATGGTGGCCCTTAGAATGAAAGCTCTCAAAGAAATGAGGCGCAAACGAAAGAATGAATATGAGCATCAAGATGAACCAGCTGATTCTGATTCTGACTATTCCCCGATGGTAAGAAAGAGTAAAAGGGTCAGAAAACCCAAGGATTATGGGCCCGATATCGCCGTGGAAGATTCATTTGTGCTAGGAGGATACAATGACACCAAGTCCCAGAGCAGGAGTGGCCGTAATTCAGCCTCAAAGTTGTCAACAGAAGATGAGAAGTACATGCTGCTAGGTCAAACTCTGAAAGCTGAGCCTCTGGATGACTTCAGCTCCAATTTTTCCTATGATGAGTATGTTCCAGTAAAAATAGATCAAAAGGTTGCTGGAGTTGTAACTCGCAACACTCAGCGTTTCGACCACATTCTTGACCAAACTAAAGTTTTTGAAGATGTCGTTTTGACAGAGACTGGCAATGGTTCGTTATGTTTTACACCCGAGACATCCACAGTGAGTGAATTTCAGAAATTAGCTGCTCATACAGACTTGCCTGCTATCCCACCTTCCATGATGGACAAGTACACTTTAAGTCCCAAATTTGAGTCCAAGTTTTGCTCTGACCCACCTCCACTGATTGGCATAACAGATCCAGGTGTGCAAGTCATGGGGGCGGGACTTGTCAAGCTTGCCAAAAACGCCGCCGCTCAAACTCGGGTTGCTGTATACGATAAACTTTTTACACGACTCGGCGTGGGTATGGCGGACGAGGCGCTCACCATTCTGAGTGAACTGTATGGAAAAGTCACTGAAGTTACAGAGATCTCACAGGAAGATCTAACCAACAGCTTGCAAACTGCCTTAGACACTATTCAAGCACTGAAGGATGTTTTGGAAGAACTGGGCATTATGTCTAAAGATGCCCTGGTAACGGCCTCTCACCAGAGGAGCATTTCTATCAATTCTCTAAATGCTGCCAGAAAGTCAATAAAGTCACACAGATCAGTTAGTGATGAAATGGCTCCGAGGAGAAGCAAATTTCTGCCATTTGCAAAAGCTAAAGTCAGCCCCCAAAAGAGTGATGACTTGAGCACAAACAGTGCGCCATCAGTGAGTAGCACAGACTTAACCTCACCAGCCTACAAGCTTAAACAGCTTGCTGAGAGTATCTCCAGTGGGCAGGTGGATCCAGGTATTAATGGTTTACCTGTGATGGCACTCACCGCAGCTCATGAAGCACTGAATGTTACACCCGTAGCGTCTACCTCATTTGTTATGTCAGGAAAAGAATTCACGATGACCCCCCTATCCATGCTTCAAAATAAAGATGGAATTATTGAACTTCACGTTATGAAAGATGGTGAACAACTTTTAGGAGCAGGCGAAACTACAGAAGAAGAAATTATACATACAGAGTAATCTTCAGTAGGGCTTTCATAGGGCTGTCAAAAATATGAAAAAAATACCTGCCCAGGTACCTGTTGACCCACTTTGTTGGGTACCCAACAAAGCAGAAAAATTTATAGTGAGTAACCACCATGATGATGGTCACATCTCCGGCCGTATTTATTATTGCCAATGTAATGATATTGATTTTTAGTCTGATTCAGGTATATACTATAACTATAAGTTCATCACTATTAATTCCTACATTAATTTAAATAATTTCTAAATCAATCTTTTACATTTTTCATCATCTAAACTTGATAATGTCGTGAACTATGACCTTGGAAAGAAATGCTGACCTTTGAACATTTGTAACTTTTGAACGAAAAAGAAGATAATAAGGTAGTTTTTAAAAATAACAACATATAAATGCGAAATCAGCCGTTAATTTTAGCAGACGAAGGTATATTAGTTTAGTTGCTACTCATTGCTAGGCCTTGGAAAGAGTATCCTACATGAAGATCCCTATGACGTACCATTGCCTGGTGTAGTAGACAGGCGCTAGTGGGAAATAGGGAGGTGACAGCGAGCGCTAATATCGGTAGAGGTTCAAAATTCTTATTAGAAATTATTTTTTAAACAAATACTTAAAATCGGGTATTTGAGAATTGCCTGGGGCTTAACCTCAGACGGATACCCAAGCACCTGTTGACAGCCCTAATGTTCAGCCATTATACTTTATTGTTGTACTTGCAATATTTTCATTGACTATGTAAAATTTTCTGTTCAAAATAAAATTTATTCATCAAAGAATATTCACATTTTAATTTAAAAAATTTGATTAATGTGATTCCACTTTCATTATTGTTTTTAATCATCACTATTGACATATAATATCAATGAATAAACGGCATTGTTCCCATGTAAAATTAAATATGCTATAATATGATTTTGTCAAAAAAATAATAAACAGTGTTAAGTTTATTCAAGTTTCACAAATGGAAGATGATATCTGAACGGCATTTTTAATATATTATTCTCAAAACTTTGAATCTAGCAATATTATCTTATGGTGAAATGGTTTGCATTTAGAAATAGAAGTAATGTTACCATAAAAAAATTGTTTCCAATTTAGTAGGTAAATCATTTTCTTTTAACTGAATTAGTGGAATAATTTGCTTGATTCAAATCAGGTTGCTGGCCATAGTAAAAACAATACAGTAATTTAAATGATTGAAATTTGTTGAAAGATATATTTGTTACCACACTTGTTTTAGTGGCAATGCGAAATATTCCTCATTCGAAGGATTGGTTTGTAAATAAAAAAAAATTAAAGCAAAACAGGTAACTCTTTACACAAATTAGTCTTTTGCAAAAAAGAATCTTTAATAGATTAATAAAATTGTTCCCATAAATCATGCATTTAAAGTTGCATAATCTTAAAAATACATTTTAAATTTGTGACTAATGCATAGACTATTATCTGAGATTTACTCAAGTCAAATCATGTTAACTCACACTGAGTAGCATCTTATTAAGATTATGTAATTCATAATTAAATTGTTTATTAATTAATAAAGGTCATCACCTAGTCAAATAGTTGGATTATTAAAGTTAGAAAAATGCAAACTTTCCAGACATTGCTTCTGATGACACTTACATGATAGTAAGTAAAGCCACCACTTTCATTCTAACTGTAAATCTGCCAATGGTCTGAGTTTCCAGGATTTATTTGAATTAATGCCTTTCCTCTTACCTAGGCTGACAGTGATGTTTGTTTATCTTTCAACCCCACATTTACAGACACCACTTTCAAAATGAAGTACCCTCTCATTACTACAAAATGCACCATAGTAAATAGTTCTTCAAAAATAAGTTGTCATGAAGAATCTTTGCTTATTTCCTCAACATACATCTGCATCTGGAAGTAAAATTGTATTACACATATCATATTTATTAAGTCATTTGTTGATACATTTTTAAAAATGGATTATTCACTTATTCCTTTCAAAGTTCAAGCAACCATTTCCAAACTAAAAAAAACTGGGACTAAGATTAAGAAAATGCTTTAAAAAATAGATGAGCTAATTATTGATTTTAATTATATTATCAACAAACAGCTTACATTCAGAATGTCTGTTGTCATACTTTTAATTGGCACCATTTTAGCTTTCTCCATTGTTTTTTGCTGGTCATCTGCTTCCACCCATGGGAAATCCTAATCTCATGAAAAACAGAAAAACAAATTCACATTTATAAAGTTGGACCATACAAAAAATATATCTTTTCTGAAATTTAGATAATGTAACAAAAAGCACTTCATTCAAATAAAAAAATGTACCGATCAGAACCTTATACATGATAATTTTACCAGTACATACCAAGGATAATTTAAAGAAATTATTCCATATCATTATGTAGATACGGTACTTAAGGTATTGTAACTGTTACCTTCTGTATAAACTTTTCTTCAACTGCCACTAATGTTGACTCTAAAGTGTCTATGTGTACTGTCCATGTGGTGCCTGCACAACAAAATGTTCTTTTAAAAGTAGTGCTGAATCTAGGAATGCTTAATCATCAGTTATTATTCATTAAAATAAGTATAATTTTAATACACAATTTAACTCTTCATACTTATATCCCATATACCATTGTAACAATTTCAAAGTTAAGCATTTTACTCAATGCTTACATCTTGATAAGCAATAAACAAAACAAAATTAGCTATAGATTAGTAAAATTTGTTTCAGCAAAACTTTGTGTAAATTTATCAGTTTGATAAATAGAACAATCATTCAAACAAATTCATAATTTTTATTTAATATATAACAATTAAAATGTGTAATCTAGGTCAAATCTTAGCATTGAACTGTTTTCTTTGTGTTACAATTTCAGTGATTACACAACAGTGACACAGATGCGAAATATCATTATGCTTTTTTTTTCCCTGAGCTGTCAAGGTTTCAATAGCTTGATATGATGAAACATAAACTTCATGTTTCACTTATTTATGCAGGTACCCATAGTTATCATGTGGGCCCTGCAACCCCTGTATCTGCAGGGGGCCTCGGATATTTAAGGAGCCAAATGTGCTGTTAAGAATTATTAAAGAAAGTTTTTTAAATTGCATTATACCGGTATAGCTTAAATTGCAAAAACCGAAAAGTGGACATTTGAATGACGTTAGCTTTTAAGCCAGTGTTTCCAAAGGTTGGCATACAGTGGAATGTACGTCCCATGGGGCTGAATGTGAAGGACATTAAAACTTTTTAAGTGCTCAAGGCAAAGAAGGTTGAGAAACACTGATCTAAGTGATACAAATTTCAACTGCAAAGTTTTAGCAATGTCACTGGTCCATTCAAAGTTACTTTGCAAAATGATTAGGGTCCATCTGTCATAGTAGTGGCAATCGGGGGCTGGTTTGTGGGCTTAGGCACAAAGTTCACATTTTTGGATGACAGAGTCAAAAGTAACATTCCCTTCTATTTCTTGACCCATTTATAATCATAACCCTTACAGTTATAACCCTTTCTTCCTGCAGCCCTTATTGCAACTCTATTATATAATAATCGATTATGAAATTTTATGAAGTGCCTAATATGTACAGTTACAAAAGAAAACTACGGGGAGGACTGAAGCAATGATAAATATAAAGAGGGTAGAGGAAAACCTGAAGGACAATAACAGAAAGTGACCATTTGACCCAAAAAGCCCTCAACAACACAATCAGTTAAAGACAGAGAATGGCTGTCTCTCTATTTAACTGTTTCTGCCATTGAACGCTGCCAAAAGCCTTCACTTTCTGTTTTGTCCTTCTTCAGGTTTTCCTCTATTTCTTATACTACCTGATAATTACAAAATGCATTTTAATTTTAAAGGTAAATAAATAATAAATTAATTGGCTGCCGATTAATTAGCTGACGAGCAGATTAATCGGCATCAGATGATAATCTCATGATTAATTTAAATTAATCTGTAAATTTGATAATCGGTTAAACTCGGTTGAAAACAATGCATTTTACTATGGCTTAAGTCACAATTTACTTGGATTACTCAAGCACTGCATCATACCTTTGACTGATGGCTGTAATAGAGCATCACTGACATTTAGCTTCAGTAAGAATCCTCGAAGTGCCTGCTCAGTCTGGAACAAGTGGGGGTCAGTTCTGGGGGATGAAAAAATTATGTAAATGGCGATCAGGTCCATTTGGCAAGGAAAAATAGGTATTATTTGTTAAGTGGAAGCGGGGTACATATTTCTAAAAGAGTGTCAAAAAGAAAAAAATGTGGGAAACAAATTTTTAAGTTAAATGGTTTTCAACCACTGTAGTTTGATGCTTACCAAATAAGTATTTTCAAAATATACACTAAAATTTATGATATATGAACATAATCATCTATAAATAATTTTTTAAAAACAGTTTCAATGATATGAGTATTAAGAATGAACATATTAAATTTGAATTCTAACTGAACATTATTGTTCTTTTATTAAATACATTTTTTAAAAGGTTAAAGGTCATTTAAAATAATCTAATAAACAACCGAATTTTAATGTAGATACCGATATTGAAAAGAGGTAAACTTTGTTAAGATATTCAATAAAATCTGTTAAAATATTATTACCGAAATTCCAAACTTACTCTTTCCAACGTTCTCGAAGTTCTCCGATTTCCAGTACAAATCTCTCAATAGGTTTTGCAGTTTCTTCTTGGAGTATAACGACAGAAATTTTATTTACTCGCCCTTCAGCTAATAAGGCACTCAGGCTCTCTATAATATTGGTTATGTAACTGCACACATCAGGGTGAAGACACATCTGAATGCAAGAATGAAAAATCTGTATTGTTGTTTGTCTTTAAATATTTAAGTTGAGAATAGCAGTTCCTCTGTCTTCAAGATACTGGCTATCGAGTTAAAAATCACAGCAACATTTTACAAAACATGCTTTAGGAAAAGTTTCTCTGAGATGCCCACAGTTTCATAACAACTACAGATCACAGATATAATATTTTAATGTCAATGGCCATTTTACAAACACTCTTTCATTACTTCTACTGACAACAGATATTTATTTGAATATTAACCCATACAGTATTGACCTACTTTTTTTTCCTTGTATAGCCTCAGCACCAGGTATTATTTTGCTAATTATTCCCTGTGGCCCAGACATTATTTTGGAATGAGCCAAAATTTGATACGTTTACAAATTATTTTGTAACTTTTTTGTTTTAAACAATTGATAATAACATGTAGAGAATTAATTGCTCAGAAATGGATAAGGGTGTTAGAAAAAGTGTTTTGCTCAAACTTTTCATTGGCAATGGCACACTTGGGGATTGTGCAGCTAGCACAGTGTCCAGTCGATCTTACTAAATCAAGATCTACGTTGACACTAGTCTAAAATCTGTCAAACCTACAGGCTCCCGTAAGCATAAATTTTGAGCTATAGTAGGCCTATTTCCTTCAACAATTTCATCCCCTCTTCCTTATCAGCATCAGAATCATCTAATCCCAATTAAAGCTCAATAATAAATTCAGAACAAAAGGTTTCATGAAGTGGGCGTTAGTCGTCATTAACAATATCGCTGCTAGGTAGTGCCATGGAAACAACAAATACAGATCAGCACAAACAAACTCAGTAATTGGTCGATTTTCAAATTTAAAAGGCAAAATAAAATTTGACTATTCACCTAACGAATAAACATTCAGCGGAGACTTTGGTGAAAGGTTATATCCTCGTTTTTGTGTTTATATTAGTTAGGAGGCATGGGGGCCTCTGTTCCACCCCTCCAGTCGATCTTCATCTAAATCAATATCTACGTTTGAGCTATAGTAGGCCTACTTCCTTCAGCAATTTCATCCCCCTCTTCCACATCAGAAATCTACTCCCAATAAAAGCTCAAAAATAGTTTCAGAA